CATGATGTCCGCACTAGACCAGGTGGGTACCCGCCTCTTGCGGTCCCGGGCAAGCTCCCGGGAGCCGCCAGCCTGGTCCCGGGAAGAGGGGGAGGGCTGGGGGGTATCAGGTGGCTGGCTCGATCTGTGCCAGTTGCAGGGTCTGCTAGCTGGCTTGCACCTGGCACGGGCATCGTAGCCAGCCCGTGCCCCTTTAAGGGGTCCGGGGCCGGGAGGAGGGCATACGAGTTTCCCTGGTGTTGGCCAGAGTGGCCACCAGGGAAAGCTGGGGAGGGCTAGCCTCCCACTAGTTCGAATTAAGGGGCTACACACCCCTTAATTCGAACTAGTAAGTTCGAACTAGGCTTAGTCCTCGTAGAATGAGGTTTACCTACTTCGAACTAAGTGCTCCGCAAGTTTGAATTAAGTTCGAACTAGCGGGGCGCTAGTGTAGCGCCTATCAAAGTTAATTTGAACTAACGTCCGTTAGTTCGAATTAACTTTGTAGTGTAGACATACCCTTGGTTCTTTGGTTTGCTCTCTCTCCATATTGGTTTAAGGAACTATCTGAGGTTTCTGCTTTAAGTGTGAGCATGCGTCTTTCCCATAGCATGTGACATCTGATTGTGTATTAACACTGGGAGTGACCAGATGATTTTTTGGTACATGACTGGTACAGCAATGGCTCCCTCACCCCTGCACTGCTTCCTCTCTGTCAGAGGCAGCTGTGGGGGGGGAGGGGGGGCGACCAGTGGGAAGCAGCTTAAAAGCCAGCTCCCCAGCACACTGGCTCCTGGCATGTAACCATATAACCGGTGTCACACGTTTACGTGATTAAACACATTTTAACATCCCTAATTTGTGTGTTCCAACATGAGCCTCACTGATGCCTGCATGATTTTATAGTTGGTCCTGCTCTGAAAAGTGACTCTTGGTCTTGCTGAATCCAGTGTGTTCTGTTTCCATGTATTAGAATGATTTTGTTTCTAATGGCCACTTCTGCCAATTCTGCTTGCAAAGATTCTTCTGCTGGAACTGCACTGACGTTGATGCATGAGCCAGAAGACCCTCTAGCCTCCTTTTCGACAGCAGTGTTGACTTTCAAGGGTAAAGAAGGCTTGAAAAAAATTGAAAAATGATTTTTGTAAGGAGATCTGTATCTGAACTTGCACAGGGGGGACTGATCTTCTTGTAAGACAGTATTGTTTTTACACAGTCGCTCTTCTGATCATAACCACACTCCAGTGTTCAATCACCAGTGAACAGCTCGCGCCAGCAAATCTTGTGGCTTGCAGCGAAGGGAAATGAGTGTTCCCTTCTTATGTGGTGTCTCACAACCACTCCAGTGAGGTCAGAAAGGGTGAGTGTTGAGAGGCCTGGATGCTGATCACGTATGAGATTCCAGTGCTTACACAAATCCTGGTTGAGTTTCTTCAAATGTTAGTGCCATGCCTGGAGGGGGAGAGAGAATTATAAAAGTCTGGTCATGCTTGCTGAGAACTAGGGTTAGAAAAGTGACAATCGTTTTGTTGTAATTGGATTTCAGGCCACATTTTCCAAAAATATCCCGGGCTTTCCTGCATGATGTGACAACATGGCTAAGCAAACTCATGATGCAGGCAACATTGCTAAACAAACACATGACTCAGGCGACTTTGAGCGGGTCACCAGGATGTCCTTCTGCTCTGAATGCTTGTGTGTATCTTGTGAAACACTTGGTAATTCTCTTAAGCCAGCACATTCTTTGCTCTAAGCAGGTTTTGGAGAACGAATATTGTCCAACAGTAGCTACAGTTGTTGCTGCTTTAGACTCCTTTGGGGAGAGGTATGTTTCAAAGAGCAGAGGTATCTAGGAATTTTTCTGTTGTGGGGTTGTGTTTGACACCCACTTCTGAGGAATAAGATGAGGTTTCGGTCCATAAAATCACGTAGGATTTGCAAATGGACAGTCTGCCCAGAACGAGGCCCCCGTGTGTCTACCTAGATCTTGGCTCCTGTGCCTTTGTCCTTTCTGGGCAGATACACACTGCCATGAGGGACCAAATGTAAAAGCTACGCAGGTCTACACAGCATGGAGGGAGAAAGCAAGGGGCACTGAACAGGTGTCAGGATTTTGCCACTGTGAACTAAAAAAATATTGCACGCATTTTGAGGAATTGGAAGATGTTACTGCACCTGCTTGTCAATTCCATCACTTTGCCTGGACTCCCAGGGCAAAGACCAACATCCTGGACTTCCTCTGCATTTAGCTTTCCTTTTATCCCACGTGGTACACGTTGGCTCAGCGTGTGTGACTGCAGCTACATGTGCTGGTGGCTGACCCTGGCAAATGTAATAGCGAACTAAGTTCTCCTGTAATACGATTGTAGGGCTTTTTTAGGCCTGTTCAATGATGAAGGTCTAAGGAACTATACCATGGGCTGTCTGCATGTCCGCAGTCGTAGTTTGTTCCTTCCATCATGAGAAACTGCCAGCAGGTTTACTGTGTCTGTCTGCTTGTACCTGCCGCCTGCCTCCGTAATTATCGTAAGCTATTTTGAGAGTCGTTTCATCGTGAAGCTTTCCCGCTAGCAATGCGTTCCTCGTAGTAGCACCATGAATGAGTGTGCAGAGCTGGGCTACTCGTGTTATGTAGTAACGAACCCGTCAGGAAATGACTGTCACAACCACACACAGTCCCTTTGATAGGTTTCAGCCAGCTCCCCCCCTGACCCCAGCCAGTCCTTGCTTTTGGAATGATTTACCAACTTTGATTTGGGGGGCAGCTTTCATCTTTGGAGACGCTGCTGCAGAATCGCTGCTAGAATGCAGCTCTCCACGTTTGAATTGCGCAGCAACTCGAAAGCCGGAGAGAAACCTGTCGCTAAAACCCTCCATTCAGCCCATTTCCTGGCTAACAGCGGATGCTGCTTGCTTTGTCAGAAGGCTAGGGGGCTGATTCTCCACTCCTCCTGGTTGATTTCAGTAGAAACTCCTGACTTACATGGGCGTGAGGGAGGAGAATCCAACATTCGATTTTTCTGTTCTCATCAGTCGGCACAGGAGGAACTTAGCTTGTCTGACAAAAGGTAGATCTTTCCTAAAGAGCTGATGAGATCAGTCACAGGCCTTTAGCTATTTCATATAACAGTACTTTGCAGGTCAGTAGTTCCTTTCACCTGAGGGTCTGGAAGTGCCTTACACACCTTTTGGGGTATGATCACACCCCTATCAGTTATTACTAGCCCCAATTTCTATTGATAGTCTCTGTCTGTCCAGTTCCCCTTGTGTTGGTTAGTCAGAAACTCATGCCTTTGTGTGGAGTTCTGGAAGAGGGTATGTTTAAGCTACTTGGGAAGAGGAGAGATTTTAACACTGGTTTCAGGGACTGGGCTGTGTCAGCTGAGCTCTTGGGAGATCTGAACCCCAACGGCATGTCAAGAGGCCCCGAGACAGCCAGGGGAGCTGACTGACTTGCCAGGCGCCTGGGCAACGCAGAGGGAGCCAGTTCCTGGCTCCTGGAAGGAGCGGGGGGCGGGGAGCAGCAGCCCTCAGCACTTCCCAGAGCATGCCATGCCAATTTAAAGGGCTCAGGGCTCCCAGCTGCTGTCACTGCTGAATCATTGGGGGGAGGGAACTTCCCCCTTTTGTCCCCTCTCCATTGGTGGGCCAGGAGATAATAGCAGCGCCTATACTCCGTTTAGACTCTGGGTTGCTTAACACAGGAATTTAAGGGTTGGCTCCCCTCACAGCCTTCTGGTGAGGCAGAATGGGGGCAACATACGGGGTCCAGCTTGGCCGTGGGTGAAGCTTTTTTAAAAGGCTTCCTCAAGGACCTAGCGCGGTTGCTCTATAAGAGCAGATCAATCAGTTTGATTCTGGTAAAGTAGTTGGCCACTGTGG